GGGCGGCCGTGCGTGAGGGGCGACGGCGCTGCGTGAGGGGCGGGCAGGGCCGTGCGTGAGGAGGGGCCCGCCGGCCCCTCAGTGCCGCTCGCCGCCGGTGTTTACAAACGCTGGTCGCCCAGGGAAGGAAGGGCTTGTTATCTTCTCCCCGGTGGCTGTCTCTGCCTCGGCAATTACAGTAACAGCGCCCCGGAGGAGGGGAGGGGAGCAGTAGCCGGAGGCCTGAGCCCCCCAACCGGGCCTCGCTCTCCGCCCGCGGGGAGTCGGGTCTGGCCCTGCGGTAGTCAGAGGGCTCTCGGGAGGAGAGGCTCGGTATGGAGGTGTATGGCCCCCTCCACCCATATCAGGGAGCAGTTAACACCCTTGCAGCCCAGAGAGAAGTGGGGGGCAGAGGAGCCTGGCGGCCTGTTTAGGTTAGGGGTCTCTGTCACCCCAGTGGGAAGGGAGTGGGTCCCTCTTGTTCTGGTTTCCCCCCGATGTACTTAGGTGGAGCACATTACAAGGAGGCACGCTTTGGGCAGAGATGGCAAATTCATGTGTGTGTGACTACCCTACCCTGCCCAAAATCTCAGCAGGTGAGTTTGATCATGTGGCAGTTATGTCAACTTTTTTTTTTTTTTTTTCTTCTTAAGGCGGCCCAGTGGGGAGCTTCATTATGTGTGTGAGTGTTGCCCGTCTGTCTCCTTCTCCCAGCCCTAGCAGGTGAGGCTGACCATATGGCAAATACAGTGATGCTTCCTGGGGACGGGAGGGTTTCTGTGTGTGTGTGTGTTTGCAGGCCCACTGGGTGACACTCACCATGTGGCAAACACAGCAATGAAGTCTGTGGTGCAAAGGGGCTAATTATGTGTGCGTTTCCCAAGAGACCCGGCAGGTTGGGTCTGATCATGCGTGTCTCACTACTGCAAGACTGATTCGGAAGCTTCATTGTACATCCTCAACACAGATGAACTCCAAGCTCTCAGAAGCAAAGCTAGCCATGGCACAAGCACAGTGTTAAAAGCACAAGCATCAAGGCCTAGAATCATGCATATTTGTATGCAGGGGCAGACATGGGAGTCAATGTACCGCAGACTGGGTGGCTGTTAGAACTGCATGCATTGCTAAGCAATGGAAACAGGCAGGACTGTGTTTATGGCTGCGTACATACTTATGTGTTTGTTTCCTTCTAGCTAGTAAACTAATGTAACCACTTCCTAGTGACCAGTGACTAGTCAGTGAAACACTCCAAGCTTAAAAATCAAGGCAGGTAAAATTGTGTCTTTCTCCATCTGAAGTTCTGTTCTTTAAACATCACTTTACCTCTTTGTCTTTCTATCTGGTACGTGCCTTTTCTGCTGCAGTTCAACTCCTCTTCAAAAGACTCCATGGATAATATCTGCAGGTTCTACACACTTAGATTTTTCTGTAGGGTCAGTTGCTTCCTCTCTCTGTGACTTCTGCAGCCTTGCTTATTCTTCTTTCAGTTCATAGTACTCTGGTTGTTTTTGCAGCATCTGATTTTGTCTGTCTTTGCTATTTCCTTTCTTTTTTCAGTGGCACTTAAGCCTCTCTCCTTCATTGACTTCACTGCCAGTATCTTACTTTAGTATTATATTAGTTAATTTAATATTACTTTAGTCACATTACTGTGCCAGTGACTTGATGAAATACCTGTCTAAAATGGTGCACTAAGGGGGCTTTGTGAGGGGGTTAGGAGTTAGGTCCTTGCACAGAAGAATACTGGAGTATAGATACTGTTCTTTGCTCAGTGACGGCCATTGAGATCCAAGCTCTAGAAAATATTTTCTAGACTTTTCCCTCTGCAGTCTTCATAAACTGTAGGTGGTCACTAGCATAGTACAAAGGGTGATTTGCCTTGCTGCTGACAGTGAACTACTGTAAGTTCACCACATACATCCTCTCCCTCATACTCTTTGTTGAGGCTTGTAGATCACCTGGGCCCTGTGCTCATCCTTGTTTGTTGCTGGGCACATCATCCTGGGACATCCCTCTTGAGAACATGCCACATGTACTCTCATCTCGTTCTTCTGTCCGTTCAGATCTCATGGCTGACTGTTTACATTAAATGTTCTTGCACATCCATTGAGAAGCATCGTCAGCACCGATGCAGGCTTAACATAGACAAAAGCATTCTCTCCTGGAATCTCTCCATGTATGTGCATTACTGTACCTCCTACCTGTCTGTCTGTCACAAAACCCAAACCCAATTCCTTTTCCTCATTACTTGTCTAATCTTTTATCCAATATGGCTTTCTCTTTCTCTTTGAAAAGATAACCGTATCTGTATAAGTAACTAGGACATTTTTGCTTCTGGTTATCCTTTATCCTGCTACAGCCCCTTTCTTTTAAGTTTTGTGCCATGTCCCATCTCAGTCCTTCAAATAATTTCTCATATTACTTACCTCTTCATTGCTTTATCTAAACTTTTTTTTTCCTTTTTTGTTTTTGTTTGGGTTTTTTTCATGGCTTTTTTTTTTTCCTTTTTTTTAAGGTCTTAGACAGTTCTGGCCAAGCCTGCAGCTCTAGTCTGGTTTCTTATCATGTCCCCATGTCCCCTTATTCCCTTTGTTCTACTTGCTATTCCAGCTTTAGTGTCCCCTCATCCATATTTCATTCCTATCTATTAATACTCATATAGCATTTTTCATCTGTAAATTTCTAAGAATTAAGTGTCTGTGGAGAAACCTTCCATATCACTTCTTCAGATGTCCCCTTTATTCACATTTCTCTGAGAGACTCACTTCTGTGGTGACCACAAATACTAATCCAAAGGCCTTTTGCATCTAACTGCCATTCTATAAACACAACACATTTACCTGCAAGAAGGTTTACTGAAATCCAAGACAGCTGGGGGAAAGCACTTTTTCCAGTCAAATTAGCTCTTCTGAGTTCACACTTGAAAAACCTAGAAATGCCACACTCATTTTTTCAGTCTGAGTTTAACACTATGTTATAGTCACCTCACTAAGCTGAAATGGTGTTAAATATAGATGATATGCAGCCTTTCCAAAAACAGTAAGATAATTTGACAAGAGAGAACTGGAAAGTTCATATGTAAAGTTTTTTTGAAAATAGATAACTGAATGGTGTAACTTGAAAAATAAGGGCTGAAGAATGAGGGAAATAGCATTCAGGAGAAGCAGTTGCTTATTTTTATTTATGCATTTTTAAGAGCACCTGAAAATATGTTCGGGTGCTTGTTAGTACAAAGATGTCTTTGGTCCCTGCCCTTCCAAAGCTAATAATCTAATTTTGGACATCACAAAGCAAAGAATAACAGAACACCCTTGCAAAACACTGCTGCCCTGGTTATCTTAACAATCATTGCTTCAGCTATATTTCTTATTTCAGTGTATCCCCCCTCCTTCAGCAGCTTAGCAAGCAAAAGCTACTTCACTTTTGTGGCTCTTTACAGCTTATTCCCACCCTATCGTCTTTTAATATCCTATAGAGAAACCAACATCTTCCCCCCACACATTTCATTCAGTAATAACTCTCGACTTGTTCCATTTTCAAACCAGCACCTTCGTGCTTTCCCTCGCTGCTGCTTCTCACTCCCACTCACCTCATTTTCCTCCTTCGAATCCCTCCCTAAAAAATCTCCTGTGCTGTGATGTCTAACTGCAGGAAGGATAAGGAGCAGTCAGCTGTGTGCTGGGCTTGCTGTCTGCCATGGTGACTGGTCTGGTCTGGTGCTCATCTGTCTCTTGCATCCACTTCTTGTGTTGGACTGAGCTCGACTTGAAGCAGGCCCACTCTTCTCACCATTGCTACTTATGGGTGGCGGAGTGGACACTTAAAATCCATTATATGAACAAATAAAAATAAATTGAAGCAATGGAAATAAAAAATGGAAATGCTGGCCAAACCCAGGAAGATTAGGCAATAATTCAGTTATGATTCATCAGCTTAGGTAAATTTACATAAAAATTAATGTGACTGACAACTCCCTTCATTACAAATATTGAGTAAGAAATTATTTTTTCTAAATACGGATTTGTGCTATTTCTCCATTTATTTATAATCCATAAGGACTTGAGAAGTATGTTTTTACTTTTTTAATCTGTGCTTGTATTTGAAACATTAGATATTCCATTTTTTGTTTGTTTATCTTTTGTCTGCAGCCCGCAAGCCTGTGTGGTGACTTAAGAATATGACAAAGCATAATACCACAAGAGCAAAGACTGAAAGGAAAAAAAGATTTCTGATAGCTTTTTTTTTTTAAACTAAGAATATGACAAAGCATAATACCACAAGAGCAAAGACTGAAAGGAAAAAAAGATTTCTGATCGCCTTTTTTTTTAAAAAAAACATGAATATAATTCAAAAAAGTTGAAGACAGAGTGATTTGCATTACGCATTCAATACTTTCGATTCAACTAGAGGTGGCTGCTGTCAATACGTATCTGTTGAAACCCCAAAGATATTCCAAGAAAATCAATAAAAATCCAATTTTACAATCCTGATATTTTCAGAGTGTTTAAAAAATTGGCAAAAAACCACCCTTTTTTATACATTACAGAAAAGCTAGTAAGGTGCTTTATTGATTTTTCACAAATTGTTTTTAAGTGACTGTTAAGGCTGGATGAGAATGAGAAGATAGAGTATTAACACAAGTTTTGTGTGGGTTTCACACACCGCATATATGGTATTGTGTGTGGTACGGCTCTTTGAAGCGGGGATATAAAAATCCAGGTGGAATTGTGTAGAAACCATATCATTACTTTTTTTTGTATCGCTTTCCCTGTGTAGAATAAAGTAGTGCATGTATTTAAGTATATGTTCTAACGGTGCTTCAACTTTGACTGCTGTCAGAGAGAAGGTCGTGGCAATGTTTCTGCTACAAACATCCACGTTGGCTGTGCAAGCAGAGTAGGTACAATGCAAATTAAAAACAAGGAAAAAAGAGAAGAAAAAAAGTCTGCTCAGAGTTTTTAGCCAGGATTTTATGGTCTAGTGGATTCAGACAGAAAATTAAATCTAATGAAGAAAAAGAAGGTCGTGGCAATGTTTCTGCTACAAACAGGCACGTTGGCTGTGCAAGCAGAGTAGGTACCATGCAAATTAAAAACAAGAAAAAAGAGAAGAAAAAAAGTCTGGTCAGAGTTTTTAGCCAGGATTTTATGGTCTAGTGGATTCAGACAGAAAATTAAATCTAATGAAGAAAAAAAGAGAGCCAAAAGAAAAAAAAAAAAAAATGCCTAGACTGAGATGCAAAATTAAAGCGAATTTTAAACTATGCAACGTAGTGGAGTAACACTATGATCTTATTTTTGTAACCTTGATCCACTCTTTCTCCCAGCATTTATTGCTCTCATTAGTTATGCACTATCTAAAAGCAGATTGTAAATTTCTTGTGTCAGAACAGTATCTTTAATGTATTCTGAACATGCCTAATATTGCTTTAGACGTTGTATACAAAAATAATATTACCTCTTGGGTTTTTCTTTATCATTTCTAAGCACAGGGAAAACTTAAAGTGCAGCAAGTCTGGAAAGGTCAAACTGTGTCTCCCCTCATTCTGTGCATGACTTCAGAAAGAATCAAAAGTTACACTGAGATAACTGATACGAAACCTGAGACACCGTGATCACAAAACTTGGATCAATTTGTGCGCATGCAGACGAAGCATCATCTCATTTAACTCCTGAAAATTTCTTTTTTTTTTTTAATTTTACATTCTATGGATATTTTGAACTGTTTGTCCCTAACGATTGTCCTCACGGATGTGCATAGATATTGTGTAATTACACAGAGAAGCTGCCAGCCTGAAGGAACCCAATCTGGAAATTACGGCCCTACTGAGTACGGAAAGTGAGCAAGTTGTGTCTCCAGGATTCCAAACACCACTTTCCTTTTCCACTCTTCCACGAGCACTTTTGAGCTTCTAGAAGTGAGGGACCACCAACGGGTGGTGCTTTCTCAGACTCACTTCCTTCATCCGAGCAGGGCAGAGCTTTGGTGAGGGCTGGGCTGCCCGTGGGCACTTATGGCCCACGTTTGGGTGGGAAAGGAAAGAAAGGTCAGTGCCAGCTGCCTGGGTGCAGAATGGAAAAAGAAATGTTACTCAGGGACAGGAACAAATACTTACTGTGGCAATCCTGATGTTTTTAAATTATTTTCATGAAGTAACCTTCATTTTTAAGTTCCCAACAGAAAGGTATACACCTTTATACGATAAAAGCACATTTTATCTGGGAAAGATGCAGGGCTGAATCAGTCCTCTGGGGATTTGAATCTGTGGATTAAAACAGTTTAGGAATTTCAAACCTGAAGTGTGATACTAAGACAGAATAACTATTCTGTGCCATTCGGAAGCAGGTAGAAGGGCCCCAAAGACCCCTCCTATGCTGGAACCCTACAATTCCCTGGAAGCTCTCAATAGCAAGAGCACTTAGAAGTAGCTTCTAACCATGTGGCTGCTCAATACGCTGTTCCTTTGCAGATGTTTCCAAGGGGTCTACATGGTCCTGATACAATCCCCGTGGCAGTGATTATTACACCTATGCTTAGAAATTAAAATATAAGCTTGTGTGATGTTTTCATACATTTATTGAAAATTATGTAATACCTAAGTATTAGTTTTCCATAAATATTTCTGAATTGTTAGGGACATTTTCCATACTCTGTCCTATATTTCCATGTACAGATGCATTGCATTTTAATATCCTATAAGCTCTACAATTCTCCTCTATCTTTTAATACTTTTTAGAATCTACTCTCTTAAAATTCTTTCAATGTACATAGTGAACATCTGAAAAGATGAGAGAGGTAGAATCAGAACTTAGTTTGGGATTTTTGGATGAGCTGAACAATTGTTTGCTGTCTTGAAACTGATTATTGGTCCCCCAACTGAAATTTCATTCTTTAGAGGAAAGGAAAGCTCATCGTGGATTTAGGAACCATGTTAAGTTCCACACCTCTTAAATAAATGCATGATTTGGTTTTAGTTGCAGTTTCTCAAGGTTGCAGTGGTGCAGAAAAAGGAGCAGCAAATCACTGAGAGACAATCGCTCCATGTAGCAGCTGGGAGAGAGGAGGTAAACTGAAATTGCAGGAATTTACTTTAGACAGCAATAAGCTTATGTTCGCTAACACATGGCAACTAATGCACGATAGAATCCCAGTGCAGAAAGGCCATTTTTAGTTTTCACATTTGTTAGCAGATCATGGTAAACAGTTGGCTCACCCTAATATGCACTTGTCTTCCCTAGGATTTTTTTCACGTGCTCTGTGGCAAGGAACTGTCTTTTTCTCCTATCATACACAAGGCCCGCCAGTGCTTGGATAGGAGTGAAATAGATTTATGCCAATGTATGCCACATGGAATAACAATGATCTTTTTTTTTTTCCCCTTTTAGAAGCATCCAAGGAAGGAATTCAGAGGCTGCAGGTAGATTGCCACCGGGAGTTAAGTTCATAGAATCATAGAATTGTCTGTGTTGGAAGGGACCTTTAAGATCATCTAGTCCAACCATCAACCTAACTCTGATAAAAACCATCACCAAACCATGTCTCTAAGCACTATGTCAACCTGTCTTTTAAATACCTCCAGGGATGGTGCCTCAACCACTGCCCTGAGCAGCCCATTCCAAGGTTTAATAACCCTTTCAGTGTAAAAATTGTTCCTAATATTCAATCTGAACCTTCCCTGGCAAAACTTGAGGCCATTTCCTTTTGTCCTATCACCTGTGACTTAGGAAAGGAGACCAACCCCTGCCTCTCTACAACCTCCTTTCAGTAGAGAGGGATAAGGTCTGTCTTCTCTTCTCCAGACTGAACAGCCCCAGCTCCCTCAGCTTCTCCTCACAAGACTTATTCTCCAGACCCCTCACCAGTTTCCTTGCCCTTCTCTGGACCCACTCCAGCACCTCAATGTCTTTCTTGTAGTGAGGGGCCCAAACTGGACACAAAGTTCATGTGTGGGCTTGAGTTCAATGCACCAGGTGGCTGGAGACTGTCGGCCGTCAAGGTCCTAGTTGACCACAGACTGTTTTTGTGGTGCACTCGTGCAGGAACACCATTGGCTTGCCAGTTATTCCAGAAGCCCACCAAAAGAAGTCCTGGCAAAATATTACCAGCATTGGCCTTTAATAATAGTACAGTAAGGAAAACTGAAGCCCATAGCAGCACTCCAAACAGCTTGGTAAAGGGATAATAGCAAGTCAGAGTGTTTCTCTGTGGCATCCAGGGTACAGAGTAAAGCAAAATAAGGGGCCTATCAAAGCAAATCATCTTCCCTCAAGCATACAGGAAATAGCATTGTTTGGTGAGTGTAGTCCTAAATACGATCTGCTATGGCAGATGAAGTTGAACTCAAGTGAAAAAGGTCATTGTGCCTCTAAGCACAACATTGTAACTGCTAATGATTAGCAAGAGGACCAGGGATTAGTACTGCCCATGAAAACTCCAGCCTCACCATCTTGAGATAGGCACAGATCTGGCTTTAGCATCGTTAGAGAGTCGTTACACCAACTACATTCAAAGTAACATTTTGAAATCACTATTTTATGTGTTTGAAGACATAAAAGACACGGCATCTTTTCTTAAATTTCTCTGTATTTTGGCCAAGTAATATCAAATTCTAGGTATTCCTGAACACTGTAATTACTAAAGTTGTTTCCCTTGTTATAGCTAGAAATGCTGAGAAATGGATATTCAGTAAGATACAATCACACCCAGTTATCTGTCCCCAACCTTCAAAATAGAGTCAGCACAAAAAATTACGTGAACTTTTTGAAGTTTGCACCCATAACATCTTCTTCTGCATTCTAGAGCTTCTGGGACCTTCACAGCATGGAAGTTTTCTGCCCCGCCCTGCAAGAATTAGTGGTCCGATAAAATAAAAAAGATCCTTTAAATTAAGGACTTAAGGAAATGAACAGGTATATATATATTTTTTATCAGAAACAGCAGAAAACATTTAATGTAATTACTACCTAATCCGTCTTGAAATCAAGGACAATCTCAAATTTAAGACATTAATATGAAATTAGAGTGACTTGAAGTTCGGCTGAAGGAAGTACACAGTAAAAAATGTAGTTACATACCATGTTTATCTTCTAAATGAGGATATTTGGTGAAGCACAGATGGGCTACTGTATCTCTTAATCCTCTGACCCATAAGGATTGGCAGAGAGACAGCGTTCCCATTAATACATCTCTCACTTCTTCTACTTTTTTACATGGCATGGAAATATTACAGTTGGGGACTCGTTGACTCCCG